TTTTTTTTTATTTTTATCATTATGACGAACAAGTTCTTGTAGATTCATTTAATTTTTCTGTTACCGATGACTGTGCAAAAGCCGGGTAATAAGTTCATTTTTTTTTTCTTCTCTTCTTTCATCTTCTAAGTTCAATCTCCGTTCTCTTCGTGTCGAAATTGTCCAGAGAACAGATATAACAGCCGAGTCGTAAAGTCGTTTTGGCTTAACAACAAAAGCACAAAAAGGCCGGTATATATGCCTAACGAATCCAACTTCTTCACACAGACACCGCCATAAATCTTGTAAACTGGTATTTAATTCATGAAATACATATTACTTGTTCGTGACGAGGTGATTTATTTGTTTAGACAGAAGAATGCAAATAATTGCAGGTATGACTTGTGAGTACACTTAAAAACAGGTTGGAGTATAAAAAAAGGATCTGCTCTACAAGTTGATTTCTTTTTCCTTTTTTGTTGTCATTTTTAGCATTTCTTGTCGTACCAGATTCTTTTATTGTCTATTTAAAAATAAAATACACGTAACCAACCGTTACATCAGACGAAATCGATAGAATTTATCATTTCAAATAAATCGTTCTTCCCATTCACACTTTATTCTCCTTTTACTTCTTTGTTTTTCATACCTTATGTTCTTTTTCTCTATCCCACTTTCTTTCTTTTTCGCCTTTCTTTATTTCCCCTTTCTTTCCCCTTTCTTTCTTTCTTTCTTTCTTTCTTTCTTTCTTTCTTAGTTGTTTTCTCTTTCATGCTTTATGGTGATTTTCTAAGAGTTGATTAAATGTGGCACAAAACCGAAAGTAGGAGGCACCTAGTGGGAATAAAACTCACTATTCAGTCGTAATTTCTCTAGCGGCACAAGCTTGTTAAGCATTACACCAAATTGAAGTGATACTCTTTCATATTTTATGTTTTGTTTCCCGATCCAAGTTTCTTTCTTTTTCTTCGTTTATGTTCTTTTTCTCTATCTCTTTCTTTTTCCAAATTAGGTTCATTTTCCCTATTCTAGTTCTTTCTTTCTTTTTCTTCGTTCATGTTCTTTTTCACTATCTCGGTTTGTTTGTTTGTGTCTTTCTTTCTTTCTTTCTCTTTCCAAATTAGGTTCATTTTCCCTATCCTAGTTCTTTCTTTGTTTTTCTTCGTTTATGTTCTTTTTCTCTATCTCAGTTTGTTTGTGTCTTTCTTTCTTTCTTTCTTTCTTTCTTTCTTTCTTTCTTTCTTTCTTTTTCCAAATTAGGTTCATTTTCCCTATCCTAGTTCTTTCTTTCTTTGTTTCTTTCGCAGATTTTCTCTTTCATAGTTTGTTCTTTTCCTCTATTCTATTTTTTTTCTTTCTCTCTTTTTCTTCCCTTATGTTCTTTTTTCTCTATTGTAGTTCATTTGTTTGTTTTTGTTATTTCTTTCTTTCTTTCTTTCTTTCTTTCTTTCTCCGTCTTTTCTTCTCTTACATACCTTTAATTTCTATTTTCTCTGTCCTAGTTACTTTCTTTAGCTCGGTAGTATTTATCATTCGCATAACTTTCTCTTTCTGTTTCTCTTGCGCCTTCCCCTTTCTCACACCCTTTGTATCAATTTCACACTTTTCTTTCTTTCTTTCTTTCTTTCTTTCTTTCTTATACCATCTTTCTTTCTTTTTTCTTCTTCATTATATGAGCTTCGTTCTCTTTCTTTCTTTCTTTCTTTCAAACCAAAACTATTACTATTTCCTTACTTATCTTGGACTGAATGCTGAAAAGTTGTCTTGCTGACCAAAATATAATTTTGTAAAAAAAGAAGGCACGGTGGAGTAATGTATAGCGGCTCGGATTGAGGAATCGGAGAGCCGAGTTCGAATTCCAGTCGGATTCATTACATTCACTTACGTGCTATTATCCTCGGAAAAGATATGAATTTTCTTCTTCTCCCACCAGCTATTGGTCAATAGCAGAACAGACCGGGTTCTACAGCCTTGGATGGCAATGGGTATACCGCAGAAAGAAATGGCAGGTAAAAAGAAAGATACATGATCCCTTAAGCGTGTATCACGCCCGGTACATAACTGACTGAAAAAAAATTCTAATGCTTATTTGGGGTTTCAGTCAGGCCGATAACTTATCAGCATCCTTTCGTAAATTTTCGTTACTCATGGTATTTCCTTGTGATTTACACTGAACAAGAAATAAAAACTGAATGAATCTTGACAAAAGTAGAAATTGAATCATTATATTTATTGAACCATTGACTCTGAACCAGATTACGTCGTAGGAAAATTACAAATGCACGCGCAATGTTTAAGACGAGGACATCTCTGCGCGTAATGTTAGTAATGTCTGGTAAGAATGGAAGGCTAACTAGGAGTCATCATACATCAAATCTTCTTAGATTCCTCTTAGGTTAATTAAATTGGATTCAGGTTTGTGATATTTCTTGGCGTAAATCACATACTATATTGGTGTTGGCGAATGTCGTCAAGAGAGGAGATCTCTTGAAGTCGTGCCGCTTTGAAGACAATCCCTGAAAACATTTGGTGAAAAATAAATTCAACTTCAAAGTATTATTTTACTTCTGTCGTGCCATTAAGAATTTTGGTCTCAAAACATCTGGAGCATTCCTTGGATATATAATTTTGAATATCAACAGTAATCTTATGATTCTATTGCTTCAAATCTATAAATCAAACATCCGTCCTTGCATCGAATATTGCTGTCATATATAGTCAGGTGCTCCCGCTATACGTCTCGAGGCCCTCGACAAAATCTAGAGACGAATATACAGTGTGATAGGTCCTGATCTGTCATCTAGTCTACAGTCGCTTTCTCACAGACGTGCCGTGACTTCCCTCTGTCTTTTCTACAAGTATTTTCACTGCAACTGTTCCGATGAGCTACTTTCGCTGGTTCCTAGACTGCATGAATTAAAGCGAGCTACCAGGCTGGCATCTCTTTCCCACCCTTTCATTGTCAAAACGGTTAAATGTAACCGTCTCTTCTACTCAAACAGCTTCTTGTCTCGCACTTCCCGTCTGTGGAACTCCCTTCCCTCTTGCTTCCTTCCCCGATGACTATAATCTTCAAATATTCAAGTGTAATGTCAATCGACATCTGATACCCTGTGCTTGTTCCCCGTCCTTTTCTTTATCTGTTCATCAAACACGCCTCTTTACTCTTGTTCCCAATCCTCTGTAACCCCTTGCGTACTAGTGGCACTCTCGCCTTGCTTGGGGTGAATTGCTTTTAAAAAAATACTTTTTATTTACATTATTTACAATTACACTTCACTGTTATTGTTTTTATCATAACGTTTCGGCCGTTGTGTCTATCACCCGGCCTCCTTCAACAGTCTATCGATCCGAGTTATCTTCAGGGAATTTGAACTAAACCCTTTTTTTTTAATCTACAGTGGTAAACCCTCCGCGTTCCGCTGTTTATATTCAGCAATATCGCATCTTGTGCTTAATTATTAATTCATTGATTTTCAGTTCTGATTTGTACAGTGACAGACGAGCAGGTTATACAAACGTTTAGTCATGTTTAGCACTCCAGATTCAGGATTGTCTTTTGGAATTTAATTGCTTCTGTATATTATATATGTGCAAAGATCTGCCAACTTCGACTGAGTGTAAGCTTGTCTTGCTAGATCAATTATAACCGAGTTGTGGGTTAGATCCTTAAGGAATGTTCAATATTTTTTGCCATATGCCACATCTAAATCACGCCTAGTAAATCGCTATATATTTGGGCAGCAAATTTTCATTTATGCACGTTTTATTAAAAACAAACGAATATTTCTTGTTGATTATCTTTCTTTTAGTCATGTGCCATGCGTGATACACGCTTAGGTGATCATGTATCTTTCGATATATGACTAACGAGGTACATTTTTCCCGCAGTAGGTTGCCATTTCTTTCTGCGGTAGACCATTTGCCATCCAAGGCAACCGGTCTGCTCTGCTATGTCCCCATGGGGGTAGAAGAAGAGGATTCATACCTTTCCCAAGGGTAAGTGAATGTAACGGATTCGATAGGAATTCGAAATCGTCTTTTTACTCTTGTTCTCAATCCTCTGGAACCCCTTGCGTACTAGTGACACTCCCGCCTTGCTTGGGGTGAATCGCTTAAAAAAAGAACCCCCCCCCCAAAAAAAAACCCGCGTCTGGTTGGTGCTCACACCCTCTCTCAGTGGTTTCAATTTTGTCCTTCATGCATATCTTCCAGTACACATATGTCGCTATCTTGTTATGTCTATGGGTATATTCATCTTTTGCTAGTTTCTTATTATTATTATTATTTTTAGTAGTAGTAATAATAATAATATTCATACCTCCGGTGTATAAAGGAAGAGATTTTGGCATAAGATTTGGGGGTAAAAAAAAAGCGTCTTATACACCGACAAATAACGAAAGTTCAATCTTCAGTTGGCGACTTTTTACACTTGACTTCTGTTTAATTGCAAAATTCTAACCCAATTCCACAGTAAATAGGACTCTTCTAAGCTCTCCTAAATAAAAGAACAATTATTTATTTTGTAACTGGAATATTAGAAAGAAAAGGACACGGTAATTTTCGGTCAAATAAGAGGAAGAAACGCTTATAATCAATAAGATGGATTAAGTGTCATGGCGAATAAACTTCTAACTGTCAGGAAAAGATAGGAAGAAAGAGTTACGAATGGTGCATGAAAAGGTGTTATTAAAAGCGCTGAAGAGATGTACAGTGTGTTTGTTACATGAATCTAATATTTCCTGACGACAGAATAAAGCCTACAAAGGAATAAATGATTCTATTTTCTTTCAATCAGTGTCAGAGATGATAAATTCGTTTCTAAAATATAGGGAAGCAAGATTTACTCCCTGGCAAATAGAAAAAAGACCTTTGCTAGTGAAGAATAATAATATCAAAATGTTTAGATCCAGCTCGAAGCTCTATTCACATATTAAAATGTTGATTCAGACGTTCAAGTTTTCATAATATTAGGGAAATCTAAGAAGTGTCATTAAAATGTACTCAGCTCATTCTTAGCTTACAGCCACATCACGTTGGAACATCGGTTCCTGTACGGTCACCGAAGTTAAGCAAAGACGTGCCTGCATAGTACCTACATGGGTGACCGCATGGGAATACCAGGTGGTGGAAGATTAGGTAATGAATCGGAATTGTTAATCAGAAGTCCAGTATTATATATACTATTCATTTAGGAATAAATACACATAGGAAAGGTATGAATCCACCACTTCTCTCCACCTATGGGTTAATTAGTAAGACTTGTATCACTAAATTATTTTAAAAAATCTTACAATCAAACAATATTTTCTAGCTTTAAATGACCTGCTAAGGGTTGGTAAACCGTAAAAAAAATCAATCATTATTGTTTGTGTAATTAGTATTTCGAGAACCAGGTGTAATAACGAATGTATCTCTCTAGCCACTAATCCCACGTGACAGTTAAGAATAAATATGGAGTACACTAACATAGATTATTTTTTTGTCATGGAATTGGCAGCGTACACAGTGAATAAAAGGAAAAAATGACAACGCAACGCTGCAGAAAGCAAGGACAACACAATAACGATTTTGTAACTCGGATGGTCTGTTCGATTTCACACAACATATTCACCTAACCTTGCAGCAACCTCTTTTCATTTAGCAAAACGCTTTAATGAGGGAATTTTTTTTATCTAATGAAAACCTAGTTCAAGAGTTCAAGAATCCACCTCTTCTCTCACCCCCAATTAGTAAGTATCTCTAACTCATTATTATCGCAAAAAAAATTCTTACGATCTAAAAATATTTTATGACTTTAAATAACCTGCAAAGGGTTGGTAAACCGTAAAAATAATCAATCATTCATTATTGTTTGTAAATAGCTTGAGTCATAAGTAATTGCAATGCTTGAGTCATAAGTCATTGCAATTAGCTTGAGTCATAAGTAATTTCCGTTTTTGGTGACCAATTGTACTGTGACTAAGTGTACTGACTAATGTATCATCTGAACTACTAATTATACGAGGCAGTTAATAATAAATTGGCATGGCAGTGGCAGTGGCAGCGTACACAGTGGATGAAAATAAAAATGTTGTTCTCCTACATATCAATGCATGCCGCATACAGAAAAAAATAACACAGGAAACACATTTGGAACTTGGTTAGTCTGTTCTACCCGACTCGCCATGTTTACCTGGCCTCACATACGTCGATTATTATTTTTCGATCGTTGCAAAATGCTTTAATGGCGAAAACGTTCTCTAATGAAAACCAAATTCAAGAGTTTGGTGAAAGCTTTTCAGATCAAAACCTTCGGTATTTTTGCTTGAAAGTATCGAATAGTTGCCTGATAAGCGACAACAATTCATTGCTAGTAATGAAAAATCAAGTTGATAAACAAAGGCGTAAATTACTAGTAAAAATACCCGTCAAAAATGAATAATAATTGCCACTCAGACATTGAAGAAATTTAGACAACTTAAGATTACCTCTGCTATTAAAGGTGTAAATTATTCACAAAAAATAATAAAAAAATAGTGAAAAAATTATAATGGCAATGCTTCACCTCAGAAATTCAAAATATTAGTACGAGTCAGTGGCGTAGCTAAAAAGGAGGGGGCGGATCGCCCCTGGGTGCTAAATGTCACCCCAACAAAATTTTTCAACCAGGCTAAGGTGCCAAAAATAGTCTTTGATGGAGACACAGGTTTGTCGCCCCAGAACCCCCCAGAAATAATCGGAAACCCCAACCCAATTTTGTCCCCCCGAACTTTTTTTAATCGGAAAAAAAATGTGCCCTATTTTCTGATTCTAAAAAACAATTCTTTTAAATTTTTAACTTAATTTTCCATTATTGGTACTAATGATAAATATTTATTGTTTTTAAATTATCACTAAAACTAAAATAAAAATCACATCAAAAACATCAATTTAAATTTATTTTATAAAAAAAAAAAAAATAGACTTTGCATAAATTCTCTAGGTAACCTTTAAAAGAATGTAGTTGATTTACAATGTTCCGAAAATACTTTCAAACATCATTGATAATTAAATGGTACCCAGAAAATGATGCAACGGAAAATTGGACACCGGAAAATTAGCAACAGAAAATTACGTCAACCATGAGCCAGTCGAGACTGTTGGATCTGGCTGTGCTGTCCATTGAAAACAAGCTTACAAGACAAACAGATTTTGACAATGTCATTGACCAGTTTGCCACAATGAAAAAAAGAAAACATTCATTCTAAGACCATAGTATCGAATGTCATTCTTTTGTGCATTGCCGTGTTTTGTATTTAGTTGTTCTAAAAGTGAACAGTTGCATTTTAAAAATCTTTTGATTCGAACTGATTATTTTGTGGTATTGGATTTTGTCTTGGATCATACATGTAAACAGTAACGTACCGGTCAGTAGAGTAAAGTAGAGGTAGAGCATGTATGAAAATTTAGCTACAGCTAACCATTCAGCATTGGGTGAATCAGGGTCATTGGGGTGACATTTGAGCGGACCGCCTCGGATGACGTTTACTCTAGCTACACCATTGGTACGAGTGTCGACCAATTAATATGATTATTACTTACCACTGAATTAAGTGCATTAACAAAGAAAGAAATGAGGAAATATATGTTTTGTCAAATAAGTTTCTTCATCATTACTTATTGATATACTGGTAAACATCTAATACTATGTTTACTGGAAAGTGTTGATAAACCGTAAAAAACGGATCAATCAATTAATAATACTAGGTTTAGTAAATATCAAAGGTAGCTTGCCAATTAGTCTTGCCAATTGTGATATAATCTTGATCTTCACTCAGTTCTCCAAAATTGTGGCCATGTGCCACACAAGCTTCGTAAATATCACTGTACCTCGCATGTTTGCTAGCAAGGTACAACTTAATCCGCTCGGAAAGAAAAAACAAGTGAGAACATTGTGGGTAGTAATATTGAAGAGTTACGTGACATCTGTCCTCCTGTATGGCGGCAAATGCTAGACAATCTTCTCAAAGACGAAGGCGAGACTTGAAGCAACATAAATGTAGTTCTACAGAAAGATACTTAGGATACCATAGACGGAACACGTGAGCAACGACGAAGTTTTAGAGAAAATAGAAACAAAAAGGAAATTTATACTTAACCTCAGAAAGAGGCAGTTGAAATTTTGGGGCCACGTAGTGAGGTAGGAGGGCTCGGAAAATCTGATACTCATAAGACAGATTGAGAGAGAAAGAGGAAAGCAGCGCGTAACATACTTGATGAGTTTGAATAAATGAATGGTAGAACAGTGTTTGGGAGAAATAACAAAGAGATAAAACTTATTAAGAGTTACAAAGGACTGGAAGATGTGGAGGGCCATTTACTCTGAAAGGCCATGACACACTAAAGAAAGAAGAGAATTTTTGGAGATTAGCATTCAATTCAACTTTATCTAAGTACAACATTTATCATAATCTAAAAAATATTCATTTTTAATCCTTTTAGAAGGGGGTTCTATTCACAATACAAATACAGTGTCAAATCGATCCCTGACTTTTCAATGAGTTATCTGTACTTTATTTTTTTATTTAGAAAGTTTGAACCGTGGTTCTAATAATAAAGACCAGATTCTCGTTTCTGAGCACACCCGATTGGTATGGGAGATAGTTAATCCCTGTTGCAGACACCGGCTCAGGCACATGTATATATTCAACACCTACAGCTTACGGTTTATGCGGAACTCTGTTGATCTGACCAGGCTTACAGTTTCTGGGCAAGAGTCCATAATCTGTCATGATCGGCAGTTCCAACAAGGCCAGTACTTTCAAACCCTCTGTCACGACGACTTGTGACATTTTGTTAGCACAACCATCGATGGTTTCTGAAGAGTCCTGTCTACCCATTTTCACTGACAAGATTCGTCCACCCGTGCTATGTTTTTCAGACATTTTCAACGCCAAAAGAGCCTCTCAATTTAAATGGCACCAAATAATTACCTCCATGATAAATCCACCTTTGTTTAGACTCAAACCTGAGTCTCAAGATCAAAGGGCGAAAGCTGTGCCCAACTCGTACACCCGCTCCTATTTTAAACTGTGCTTACGGCATTGATAACTGTAAACAACTAATGTTGCCCTATCATTCTGATTCATAATACACGGTGTCCCTAAAGTCTGGACACATTTTTGTTTTAAATCGGTATCACCACAAGCAAAGCAGTAAGGTGTTACAGGCTGTGGAACAGAAACATTAGTAATGAACAGAAAGCGGAAAGGATAATCAGGAGGACAGCAGACAACGATTCACATTGTATTTAATTTTTTGCAGATTAAAGTTGGAAAGCGTGGAGTCAGAAGAGAGTTCCACAAACGAGAAGTGCGAGAAAAGAAACTGTTAGCATAGAACTTACGGTTACATCTCGCCAACTCAATTGTAAATTGATGAGATCTCGACGCCACTCTAATACCGCGCTTAATTTCTTTTTAAAGTCTAGGTACCATAGCGAAGAGCTCATCCGAACAATTACCATGAAAATATTTATAGAAAAGACACAGAGAGGCAACCTTACGAAGCCAGATCAGGACTAATAATATTGCTGAATCTTCTTTGAATTTTATCAAAGAGTTCTAGGTTAATAGCAGAGGACCATATGTGATAACAGTATTTTAAGCAAGGACGAAAGACAAAAATGCATATTTTCAAGAAATTAAATTTTCAAGAACATTTTATTGAATTGGAATATTAACAAATGGCCTCTTCCATATGATTTCCATCGTTTAATATCGCAATAACGCCACACTGCCGCCAATTTTAACACATTCAGTCTTTATACGTTCAATCAAGTGTGTTGCATCTGTGATTTTCATTCAGTACACCTTCTCCTTCAGCATACAACAGAAAAAGAAGTCAATTCTTTCTTCTTTTGACAAAACCATGTTTTATCTGTAGAGGTAAAAAAAATATAGTTTAGGAGATTTCCTATGTGTCCAGACTTTAGGAACATCCTGTACGTTGTTTTATTTTTATATACTTATACAATTCATATGTCATACTTATAAAACCCAGGTTGTGTGTGTGTCTGTACGTTTATATATTGGATCGGATTTCCTACATTTTTCTATCGATTTCAACAAAACGTCACAGGACTACGTAAAATTACCTTACGGTTGTTCT